AACCTTGTCGAAGACAAAACATGGAATTGAAAAACCCATCAAGAGCGCCATTCAAACATATAGAGAAGTACGCGTCAGAAATACACCATTTAATCTATGAAACAAATAATTCAAGTAAACCTTTCTGAAAGAGTCTAACAATAAAAAACCCTTTAGAGATAGAGTCAAAGGCCTTCTTAATATCATGTTTTGCACAAAACCTCTTATGAGGACCCTAAAAATCCCTAAGAATCTCAGAGGCCAGAATAATATTATCTGTAAAGCATCTATTAGAGATAAAACCAAATTGGTTATCATGGATAATAAAAGGAAGAGTGATTTTTAGCAGATTTGCAATAATTTTTGCCATAATTTTATAAAAAACATTGCACAGAGATATAGGTCTGAAATCATTGATGTTAGAAGCAAGAGAGCATCTAGGAATCAAAATAATTGTAGTGGCTTTAACCTCTTTAGGAAGAGAACCAGTAGAGAAGAAATTATTTTCCGATTTAAACACGTGCAAGCTAATAATATGCCAAGATTTTCTATATAAAGCATAGGTGAATCAATCAGGTCCAGATGAAGAAGATTCATTGCCCTCAAAAATAGCATTTTTAACCTCTTCAAAAGAAATAGGAGCCACCAACATGCTATAACCAACTATTATCTTAGGCTAGGCCGGTGTTTTACTTTCTTATTATTATGTATAGGATTTTCAAGCTTTAATTACATGCTAATTATTATAATTAATTAATTGATATGATTGTTTATTTAAGTTTAATGCAGTATATGAATTGATTTTATTTCAAATGTGATTTAAGTACTGTGATTTTGATGATAAAAAATATTATTGTGTTTGATACTACTTTCTCCTATTTTTGTAATATTTTGTTTTATTTTTTTTTTTACTAATGTTTCAAGAAATCAATCTATCATTCACTTGAAATTCTGATCAGCTCAAGATAGGGTATACTATGGTTACATTTAGTTTTCATAATGCAATATATGAATTAATTTTATTGTAAACATGATTCAAGCACTATGATTTTGATGATAACAAATATTATTGTATATAATACAACTTTCTCTTATTTTTATGATATTTTATTTTATTTTTATGTGTACTAATATTTCAGGAAATTAGTCCACCATTCACTTAAAATTTTAATTAGCTCAAGATTGGGTAGACTAAGGTTACAGTTAATTTTTATTTTATTATGTATTTTTTCCTTTATTGAGTCGTATCACATAATTGAGTGGATATCATTACTGAGCAACCATGCACACACATAGGGGGAGAGATAAAAAAATGTTTTAGAGAGAATTATTTTTTAAGTAATTTGTATTATATGATCTTAGTTTTGTACTGTACAAAGTAATTCATATTATACAAAGTAATTTGTACTGTATAAAGTAATTCATATTGTACGATTTTAATTCAGACTATACAAAATATTGTGCTCTTTCAAAACCCTAGCCATAAAAGATTAATAAAGGTATTAATTTTGTACATATTGTATAATACTATTTGGTTCAATCTGTATGCCCTAATTAAAATCTTTCTTAATTAATCCATCGATATCAGGCAATCAAATCATGGAAAATTATTATGATGGATTGTATTGTATGATAGAGTTCTTGCTACATAATTACCCATGTACAAAATTAGTCATCCCAGAGAGAGCACCAACAAAAATTCATAATTTTGTACTGATCGTACCGTACGATATCTACATTACTAGATGATCACCTGTGTATGAAATTGGCCGTCTCAAGGATCATCCCAAATGAATAGAAGGAATTTTTATAATTCATACTATACAATATTTTGATTGTAATGTACAAAATGTTATAAAAGTTAAATAGTTCATTTAAATGATCTTGTTGGACGAGTCTTAATTACACTAATCGTACCGTACAATACATGTATCGTACTATACAAATAGAAGATGAAACTCTTGAAATTTAGGATTTTTTAAGCCCACCATTTAAGGATTTTAATACTCTTATAAGAAATTTTTTTGTTGTTGGGTTGACCTGAGAGAGAGCTTAGAGAAGGAAGAGAGAGCTTGAGAGAAAGAGCAATCCTTATGAGGAAGAGTTGTGAAGGATTCACAAAAGTTGCTCCAAGCAAGGTTTACAACATTTTTTTAAAGTTATTTTTTGCTTTCTTGGTGGTTTTATGAGGAGATCTTCATTAACATCAGATCCAAGGTTCTTTGCCTACTCCAGGAGTGAGTAAAAGAATTTTTAGGGTTCTCTACTTACTCTAGGAGGGAGTAAAAGGATTTTTAAGTTTTTTTCCTACTCCAGGAGGGAGTAAAAATATTCAAGATACTCTGCCTCACTAGGTCGGTGGAAATATTTAATAAGTGATTCTCTACCTTGCTGTGGGGGAAAAATGAGAGACTACTTTTAGTCCATAACCTTGGAAAGGAAGTTTTCGGGGAGTGGATGTAAGTTAAGTTGATCAAACCATTATAAATATGATATGTTCTTTCTATTTACTTTTTTGCATTTAATTTATGTATTATTCTGTGATTTGTTCTAAGGTCAAAATCTATAATTTTTTTATTGTAAAATTAGTGTTGCTTCACATAAATTGTTTGTTTTAAAATATTCAAAAAGATTTCCTTTTTTTTATAAAATTTTTAAATAAAAAATTCATTGTAACCCCTCTTGGTTTTCCTCGGGCTTGGGCATACAGAGCTTTTAAAAATAAAGGGGGAAAATAAAAATTAAGCTTTAAATTAATAATATTTTTTATACAGTTGCTGTATAAAATGTTAAGTCCCCCTTTAAAATTAAAAGAACATGACCAAGTGTGGATGATTTGAGTATTTTAATTTGGATATATATAACTACTTGGGATGATTTAAATGAAAATTCATAGGATAACCATGTAAGTGATTTGAGTCTAGATTTTTAATTTTATTCAATATAATTTAATTTCAATTGAATTGTAGATATTTAAAAGTGCTAAATTTGAGATGGGATATTTATATCCAACTTAGATTCAAAAGAAGAGAGGACATCCCTTAGAAGAGTGTCCTCTTCCATTTGGAAAACTAAGTTAGGATAATTTCAAAAATTCAAAGAGGAGAGATTACACCATTTCAAGGGGAGATTTCTTTTCATTTAGATATCTTGACCTAATGGATATAAGGAATTCATAGAATGATGAAGAAGTGAAGATCAAAAAAGATCCCATTCTCAAAGTCACTTGAGTTTAAGGAGTAGAATCCATATTGTTGTTAGTGGTACTCGACCACTTTACTTTCTACAGATTTTTTTTTTTAAATATTAAGTGGCTTTTACCACATGGACTTTGAATTTAATTTAATTTGATTTGATTAATTTATTTAATTTGCTATCTTCTGTAGATTCCGAGAGTCACACAGTGAGCAAGAGCTTGATGGTTGGCGGCGATTTAGGATCGAATAGGAAGGGAGAAGCTAATCGGAACTCTTAGGGGCTATTTGGTATCGGATTCACAGCGGGATTTAAGTCGGATTTACGCTAAATCCAGCCAAACAGTTTTTGTGCGCGCGTTAAATCCCGGGATTCAGTAAATCCCGGATTTACGAATTTACAGCTTAAATCCGGGATTTAGTAAATCCGAGGGGTAGTCGGATTTATTAAATCTGAGCTGGATTTATCCGAAGAAGCGCGCGAAAGGAGAAAGTTACCTTCACAGCCAGCGAGCTCCCGTTCTTGCTTCCGATCAAAATGTCGTAACTTCTGATCCGGGTTGAAGTCGTCGCAGGAGCGAAGTCGAACAGCCACGAAGGAGCCGAAGAAGCGACGCCTGCAATCTCTACACCTCCTGCAAAAGCAACGGAGCCGAACAACAACGACGGAAAGAGAAGATGAAAGGCAAACCCTAGACGTCTCTAAGTTATTATTGATTAACTTAATTAATATAATTTACATTATTAATACTTAAGTAAATTAATTAAATAGTTAATTGTATAATTAGTGGCATAAATTAAAAATTAATTTAAATTATTAATTAATTATAATTAGATAATTATATAATTTCAACTTAATTGCCATAATTAATAATTAATATTAATACAATTATCTCTTAATTAATATAACTTAAATATTATATTATAAAATAATAATCAATAGTGTAAATAATAATTAACAGAATAATTGTATTAACAGTATACTTTTTATTAATTATGAGCAAAGTCATCGCAGGGGTCAAAGTCGAACAACCACGAAGAGGTCGCAGAAGGACAAGTGCAATCTTATACACCTGAAAGCAAACGAAAACCGAAGAGCAACGATTGCAAAAAAGAAGATGAAGAAAAAGTCATACAAACTCTAAAAAGTTATTATTGATTAACTTAATAAATAATCTAATATATAATAATAAGTAAATAATTTAATAATTTAATTGATATAATAGTGCATAAATTAAATTATTCTTAATTTACTTAATTGGTATAATTAGTAATTAAATATATATATTAGATTAATTAATATAAATTAATATATTATTATTAAATATATAATTAATTTGTAATAAAATTATAAGTAATTTTACTTAACATATTATTAAATTTAATTAACCACATTATATTTTTTTATTTTTAATTATAAATTTATTTTAAGTTTAGTAATTAATTTTTCACATTTAAATCCCTAACTGCTATAAATCTGAAAAATATGTTACCACAACAGTCTTCTCAGAATTTCAACAGGGATTTTCATTGCATACAAACATTTTCAGATTTAACACATTTCAAATTTACTAAACCGAATTTACAAGATTTACTAAGGCATTCGTTTGGGAACGCTTTTCTTACGCTTTCTAAAACGGAGTTTTTTAGTACAAAATTTATCATGTTGTACTAAAACTCCGTTTTAGAAAGCAGTAAAAAAGCCGTCCCAAACGAAGCCTTTTGTACTAAAACTCCGTTTTAGAAAGCAGTAAAAAAGCCGTCCCAAACGAAGCCTTAGTAAATCTTGATCTCACTAAAGTTAAATCCCACTTGTTGCCAAACAGCCCCTTACTCTACTTCACAATGGCGTCAACCTTCCGCATTGCCTTGAGAAATGGGGTGTGTAGGAGGGCCAAAGGCCACAAAGCTCACAACTGAAGAAGCGATTGGCGAAGAAATGGCCATGAGGAGGCTGAAGAAGCAGGTACGGATTCATTGGAAGCTGGCGATCGTATTTTTAGACGATCATAAACTTTGAATAGCAGCTGGACGATCTGTTTTATTATTATTATTATTATTTTTATATTTTGAATCTGTGAAGCTTCGAGGAGGTTCGAGGCGGTGGAGTGGTTAAGGAAAATGGATCGTGGAGCAGTGGAGATCCCGTAGGGAGAGCCGTCGGAGGAAGAGTTTTGCCTTGCGTTGCGTAATGGGTTGATCCTTTGTAATGTTTTGAATAAGGTTAATCCTGGAGCTATTCCCAAGGTATTTAAGCGCGTTCAGTCTGATAATCGAGATAACCTTTTTTTTCTTTGTGGCCACTACTTTGAATTTACTCATTCCCTGTTTATTAGTATTGATGTTTCAAAGGTTTGAATTTGTATTATTTTTGTTCATCGAAAATTTGGCCAACTTCTCTTATTTGGTAGTATTTATTTTGATTGACTGCAAATTATCATTCGAATTATTTATGATAACGTCGATGGAATTGGCAATGGGATGTCACCGAGCAGGTTGTAGATAACCCTGCTGTTGCCGTTCAGTTGGCTGATGGAATAGCTCAATCAGCGTTCAATATTTTGAGAACATGAGGAACTTCCTCGTTGCTGTCAATGAAATGAAACTTCTTACATTTGAAGCATCCGATCTAGAAAAGGTAATTATCTTCTATTCAATACTAGCTTTAAACAAAATTTTAGTTATGAAAGTTAGCAAACCCTGTGTTTTTCTAGAGAGAAATGTTTATTGGCCTTTTTTGCTTGTTTAATGCATTTAAAAGTGATATAGCAGAAACTAAAGCGTATTCGAGAACAATAAACATGACAATGTGTTATCAATCGAAAGTGAAAGAACGTTTTTTAGGCTTCTGTTATGGTGATAAATGTCCTTTTAAGAAATCGTATTATATCAAATCCGGTGTCCCTGTCAGAAGGTTCATACTAATAAACCAGCAGCAAAGATCCATTAGGATCACCAACACACTGAAGAAACTCAAGGAAGAAGACGACTTAGTTTCAGATAGACTCACTTGCTCATTTTACTGTAGTGGAGTAGAAGTATAAATACAGAAGTAGTGTAAAGCAGCAGAAATATCTATACTACCCTAGACAGTTACATAAAGCGAAAAAGTGTAAGCTGCTTGATCAGAGTTGAGGCACAGCAGCAGTTAGTTGATGCTCAGAGAAGTGGCGGATAAATACTGCTTGCCACCATCCCTCAAGCTGATGGGTGGAACAACCATCAACTTGGTACGAAGTGATTGAAACTTGGAAACATGTAGAGACTTTGTGAACATATTTGCTATTTGGTCCTCAGTTGCGATGTGTTGAATGGCGATTTGCTTAGTTTGAAAAGTGTCCCTGAAGAAATGATGATCGATTTCAATGTGCTTAATCCTCGCATGAAAAATTGGATTGCAGGCTATGGACATTGCCGATATATTGTCGCAAAAGATGGGAGTTTGCTGTAATGATATGTTGAAATCATGGCAAAAAGCGAATCCAGATGAGATCAGCGGCAACTGTAGCAAGAGATCGATATTTCGCTTCGGTAGATGACCGAGCAGTTGTAGTTTGTTTCTTAACATACAAGGCTATGAGAGCGTAGCCGAGAAAAATACATTATCCAGTCGTCGATTTGCAATCGACGATATCACCGGCCCAATCCGAGTCAGAGAAGGCAGTAAGCTCAAAATCAGTTTTTTCGAATAAAGAGACTATAGTCGAGTGTTCCGCGTAGGTATCATAGTACCCGTTTGAGAAGCTGGTAGTGTAGGAGAAGTGGTTTATTCATTTGTTGACAAAGTTTGTTGATGACAAAAGCAATATCTGGCCTGACCGAGAATAAGTATTGAAGAGAACCTATATTCTAGCGGAAGAGTGCTGGTTGAGCAAATGGTTGTTGGAGGGATGGGTCGGTGGGGCATTTATTTGGGAGTGATGTTTGGATTGGTTTGCAGTTTGTCATAGATGCTATGTGAAGGAGCTCTTGGATGGAGTTTTGTGTGAGATGAAAACCGGTGGAGGTACGAGTAAAATCGATACCGAGGAAACGAGAAAGAGTACCAAGATTCTTATTTAAAATTTGTTGTGGAGATTTGTGATGAGAGAGGAAATGAAAGATGAGTTGTTGTCGGTGATAAGGATGCCATCGACATAGACAAGTATGTATATGGTGATATTGTTTTTATATTGGAGAAGGAATGACGGGTCGGCGCTGCTAACTTGAAAGTTTTGAGTGCTGAGATAGCTTGTTAGTGTAGCAAACCAAAGTTGTTTAAGGCCATAGATTGCCTTGCGAAGGAGACAGACATGATTTGGGAATTGAGGGTCAGTAAAATCAGGTAGTTAAGCCATGTAAATGGTTTTGTCAATGTTACTGAGGAGGAAAACATTAACAACATCAAGTTGAAACACTTGCCAATTGTAATGAAGAGCTACGGTAAGGAAGATACGAATGGTAGGAAATTTGACGACAGGGCTGGAGGTTTCATGATGGTCTATGCCGTATTCTTGTTTATATCCCTGGGAAATTAGACGAGCTTTGTGACGGGCTATGGAGCCATCGGCAAGACGTTTTTTTTTTAAAATCCATTTGCAGCCGATTATTTGATGATTATATGGTGGTGGAACTAGGGACCAAGTCCCTTGAGCTTGTAGTGCATTAAACTCGGCAGACATTGCATTTCGCCAATGGGAGGATTTACGGGTGATGGTGTAGGAGGTAGGAGTGAGTTTGATGGTATGAGTAAGATTTAGAATTTGGGGGGGCTATAGAGAGCCTGTTTGAAGTCTTAAAATCATTGAATGGTGTGGTATTTTGGATGGGGAAGTGGTGGAGCTGGATGGATAAGTTTGATTAGTGTTGGGTTGGGTGGTCGGGGAAGTAGATGGTGTGGAGGAGAAGTGGGAAGCAGGTGAAGATTGAACAGGGGAAGAGGGGCTTGTAGGTTGGTGGGAGATTAGAGTATCTGTAGTAGAAATTGGGTTAGTGGGAATGGGAGGAAAAGGTGTAGGGGTAGTAGAGGTGGAAGGTTGTGTTGTATGTGGAGTAGGTAGAGTGGAGGGGAAGTTGTGCTCGTCAAATGTAACATAACGAGAGACATAAATTTTGTCTGTAATGGGATTGTAGCATTTATAGCCTTTTTGTTGAGTGGCATAGCCGAAAAAGAGGCAAGGAATGGAACGAGGCGCAAGCTTATATGGAGTATATGGGCGAAGCCAAGGGTAGCAACGACAACCGAATATTCTCATGTGGTGATATGTTAGCTGAATATTATAAAGGAGTTCATATGGTGATTGCGGGAATTATGAGAGGAAGGGTGTCTATTTATAAGGTAAAGTGCAGTATGCAGTGCCTCAGTCCAAAAAGAAGAATCTAGAATCCGGCGCGGGAGCTTCTCTTTTTGATAATGTCAAAATGGGAGAACGTACTGTTGAATTTGTATCATTTTTCTTTCAAAAAATTAAAAACAACAAAAATTTTATTCTCCCATATTTTTAAAGTTTTATTCTAGTAAAGGAGAGATTAGAAGAAAATGTTTTCTTTTTTGCAAATTCAAATAGTAATGTTTGTCATCATCAAAAAGGGGGAGATTATTGCGGATTTGTTTTCATGGTTTATGATTTTGATGATAACAAACACTCTTATTTCTCTACGATTGCCTTATCTACTGACATTTCAGGTCCACAAGATCATACTGCAATTTGAAACTAGCTCAAGATTGGCTATACTAGGTCTGAGTCAGTTTGTAACTTTTTTTTCTTTTCTTGAGTCTATTGTAATTGGTGTAGCTCCTGATGCTATTTAGCTTTGCACATACACACCTTGGAAGATTTTCTGACAGTTCCCTAGAGTTTACTGTTTTTTGTAACATCGTCTGGGATGATATTTATATTGGCCTGAACGATCGGTTCAAAAGCAGAAACCCTAATTAGGGCATCCTCATTAAGGTAGCCGTCAATAAGCCGATCGGCCTGAACGATACTTGTATCGGCTAGGACAATAAGCTAAAAACAGAAAGAATCAGCCGCCATGATCCATGATCAGTTTAGGTATTCTTTATTTTAGGACATCGGCCAGGACGATATCCACATCGTCCTAGACGATTTAACTTAATTATGCCTAAATTAATCTGACATCTTTGGAATGCATTAAAGGCTGATTGATTCGATCACATCGTCTCGGACGATCGTAGGATCGGCCGGGACGATGTCGTGGATGATTGACATCGGCCAGCTTCGATTCAGAGCGATGATCAGGACGATTGTACTCGGTTTTAAACTAATCGGCTAGGACGATATTTCATTGGCCTAGACAATGTAACCAATTTTCTTCTAATCGTCCCAAATCATCACGGGCTGATTGATCTTAATTTGTACTGATCGGCCAGGACGATAAAGTCGGCAAGTTGCATTAATGAACTCGTTTTGAGATCTTTTATTTAAGCTTTGACAAGACACTTGGTAAGTGTCTTTAGCAGCCATTGTCCTTCAAAATTTCCCTTTCAGCCTTTTCTTTTTATTCTCTAGGCTATAATAAAATAATCCTATTTCCAGTCATACCAAACATGCTTAGAGTGTCGCTGCTCCGATTTCTCTTCGCTATTTTTATGACACAAGTCATAGCTTTGCAATTTCTCCATACTTATCTATAACAACATTTCAAATTGCCTAAAATTTATCTACGCACTGGTTGTTTCAACGTAGGTGCTTGAAAGTTGTTGAAATTGCCTATTGAAAGTGAATTTTATTCAATTGAGGCTTAATATTTTGTCTATTTTGTACAAACTATCTTCTTACAAATTCATAAATCGTATATTATTTTAATAATAAATAAATTTCGAACACTTAATATGGTTTTATTACTACTAGTAAATACGCAAAAGCATTAAATGCACATGGATTAAATTTTGTGTATTGTGATGTATTATTTGAATTATGTATAAGATTTTTGAGCAAAATCTGTTTAATATTTATTAAATTATTTAATTTGTTTAAATATTCTGTTTTCTGCAATTATCATGTATTAAAAAATATTTTAATTCTAAATTATCTGAAATTAAAATATTATGATTTATAAGCATTTCTAATTTGCATGCACACTTATAATTATTATGCAATTATTAAGAGCATTTTTAATTTACTTTTTAGTAATTTAACGTTGTTAGATTCAATTAATTGCATGTACACACATAGCAACTTCGTTTAGAAAAAAATAAATTAAAAATATTTTAGAGCACAAATAATGTGGACTTTGAATTTTGGTGACTCGGATTCTAGAGAGAGAAGCTCCCGCGCCGGATTCTAGAGAGAGAAAGTTTGAATCTTTGTTTTTCGCGGGTTTCTTGCCTTCGGCCATGGCGGCTTCTGGCCGTCCTCCGTCGGACCCTCCAGATCTTCAACCTCTGGCTGATCATCAGATTTCTTCTAATCGATCACGCTCTCCTTCTTCCGTGCATTCTTTCATTCCCCGTAAAGATGATCAATCGAATTCAAGATCAGGTTTAAAACCTTTGACTATTAGAGAAGGCTCTGATTCCATCGCTCATCACGTTAAACCTCTTCCTTCTTCTGAGGGAAAGGGTAAGGGTTTGGTTTATCCTTCGGCCTCTGTCTTTGGTAGTTTGGATCGAAGTTCCCCTGGTGTTGGCCCTGT